GGACAATGTCCCCAGTGGGCCCTCCTCCAGTCTGTTTCCACACTTCCAACTTCAAGTGCCAGGCTAGCCCTGGAGGCAGCATAGCTGCCATTCTGCTCAGGGCCAGTGCAGTCAGAAAGTACTTTCCCATCCAGACCTGAAATCTAATTCTCTGTAATGTAATCCAGTGATCTTAAACTGCCTCTTAGGTTGAATTATATGAAACACAGTTTTTCTTCAAGTATTCCTACTGCTTATAGAGCTTTTCCCTCAACACTAGTGGGAAATATGAATTATCATGTGGATGAATTTAATATCTTCCTATAGGAGCTCTGGTAGCATAGTACCTAAGGCATTTGACTGCTAACCAGAAGGCTGGCGGTTCAAACCCACCAGCCACTTCTTGGAAGGAAGGTTGGGCAATCTACTTCCATAGTGATACTGCCTTGGAAACCCAAGGAAGGGTAGCTATGAGTCAGATACGACTCCATGGCAGTGGGTTTGGTTTTGGTTTAGAGTAGTATATGGGAGCTCTGGTGGCATAGTGCCCAAGCTATTTGACTGCTAACCAGAAGGCTGGTGGTTCAAACCTACCAGCCACTCCTTGGAAGGAAGGTTGGGCAATCTACTTCTGTAGTGATATCACCTCAGAAACCCAAGGAGGGGTCACTATGAGTTGAATCCAACTTGACAGTAGTCAGTTTGGTTTTGTTTTAGAGTAGCATATAACGTCAAAATAAATATAAAATGTTATCTATTTTTTTTTTTTTTCAAATACATCACTCATTTGCAAACACACATCACTTAAGTTTCCCTCCCATAATGTGGTTTATATAAAATATTCTACATGAACCAAATCCTTCTGAATTCTGTCATTAGACATAATTTTCTTGTATTGATACACAGTGGGTACAACTTACAGTAAATAGGTCCACATTTTACTGTTTCAATAGCATTTTTTGAAATAGTTAAAAGACTCCTTGGCCATTTTCATTATTTCCTACCAAAATACCACCCAGCCAGAGTTACAAGCATAGTGCACCTGACATCTTTTCCCTGTTCTACTAGGTTACGGAAGGATGAGGCTATGGGTGATGGTGTAGCAACAGGCCCTATGAGGGATTGAGTTCTTCATAGTCCTCTGCTGCCCCCTCATGGTCATAATGAGGTTTGTCAAAGCCTTTCCTGGCAGAGGATGAGGAAATGGAAAACACAGTACTCCTTGGAAGGAAGGTTGGGCAATCTACTTCTGTAGAGATACCAAAATACTGCCTCAGAAACCCAACAAGGGGTCACTATGGGTATAATGAACTTGACAGCAGTGAGTTTTTTTGTTTGTTTTTGGGAGCTCTGGTAGCATAGTGCCCAAGGTGTCTGACTGCTAACCAGAAGGCTTGCAGTTGAAACCCACACAACCGCTCCTCGGAAGAAGATTGAGCAATCTACTTCCATAGAGATACCCCTCGGAAACCCAAGGAGGGGTCGCTATGAGTCGGGTGTGACTCCATGGCAGTGTATTTGGTTTTTTGGTTTATAAAGTACATTATATTACACTCCTATATATATTCCTAGGAGCTCTGGTGGCCTAGTGCCTAAAGCATTAGACTGCTAACCAGAAGGCTGGTGGTTCAAACCCACCAGCCCCTCCTCAGAAGGAAGGTTGAGCAATCTACTTTCATAGTGATGTTGTTGTTGTTGTTATGTGCCTTGGAAACCTAAGGAGGGGTTGCTAGGGGTTGGATCCAACTCGATGGCTTTGTGTTTGGTTTTTTGGTATATATACTCTTATACAGTACATTAGCGGGAACTCTGGTGTCTAAGACACTTGACTGCTAACCAGAAGGCTAGAGGTTCAAACCCCCCAGCCACTCCTCAGAAGAAGATTGGGCAATCTACTTCTGTAGAGATACTGCCTTATACAGTACATTAGCGGGAACTCTGGTGTCTAAGACACTTGACTGCTAACCAGAAGGCTAGAGGTTCAAACCCACCAGCCACTCCTCAGAAGAAGATTGGGCAATCTACTTCTGTAGAGATACTGCCTTGGGCACCCAAGGAGGGGTTCCCTATGAGTCGAATTGACTCAACAGCACAGCATTGAGTTTTTTATTGGCAGGGGTAAATTCCAAGACTCCCACTGGATGCCTGACACTGTGATAGTACCAAACCCTATATATGCTATGTATTTTCTTATATATACATATCTACGATAAAGTTTAATTTGTAAATTAGGCACAGTAAGAGATTAACAACAAAAAAAAAATTTAACAATTTACTGTAATAAATGTTATGTGAGATAAAGTGAGACAAAAGATGGAAGCATTTTTATGTAGTCTCAAGCTACTACTTTCAGACTGCAGCTGACCTCAGTTAACTGAAACTGTAGAAATCAGATAAGGGGCGTGGTGGGGGCGGCGGGAGAACTACTGTAGTATGGGAACTCTGCCTAGTTTTATTCTTTCCTGAAATAAATGCATTTCAGACTTGGGATGTTCCCAGCAAGTTTCTCACATATTGACTCTATATCATATTGGTTGGCCCAACAGCAGATACTGTATTCATTAAACAGGCATATTTTTGAGGGGAGGACAAATATGGCTACAAATAAAATACCTAGTTACAGATGTTAAGAAACAACATATATATACACATCTGCATGTCTACACACACATCTACCTGTATACTTACAGTATACATTCCCCTTTGTGGTTTTTGACTGAATTATGATTTAGAACTCAACAGCTAACAGAGGGAAAGGCTGAGGACACTCAAACACATAACCAGAATTAGAGGTGGAAATGAAGACAGAGTCCTAGCAATGACCTCTGAGACAGCAGAATTCAAGATGAGCAGAATTATAGGAACATAGGCAAAGGCTCCAAGAATTATCTGCCTACTGTTACTAGTAAATAGAAGGAGAAAGTGTGATTGAGGATGGTGTGGTACTGAAAACTGACTGAAGTAACATCTATAGGATGAAAGAGGAGAGAAGCTGGAAGGACGGGGTCTCTGTGGGTAGCAGGAAGAAAAAATGGAAAGCAACCATGTTGGTAATATGGCTTTTGGCAGGAGAGTACAACCAGCTGTCTCTCCTCTCCAATTCAAACCTCCACCACAAAATCCATTTGCATTGGGAAAAGGTGCTACATCCTTTGGTGGGTTTAAGGTTATTTATTCATGTGTTGATCATTCATTTTATGCTTTGTTTTCCGTATTTTATAAATGATTACTTTTGGAAGTAAGGGGCTTTATCTGCTTATGATTTTTAAAAATGTACTTCAAAGTTCAAGCATTTATTTTAACTGATAGTGAATTAGTCCCACATTATTTGGAAGAAAAACCTGTTTTACTTGTGAAAAGTCAGTCATTGAAAACCCTATGGAACACAGTTGTACCCTGATACACATGAGCTGAACATGAATTAGAACTGACTTGACAGCAACTGGTATAGTTTTGTTTTTTAATGTATATTATCTGGGCAAAGGCAGTCCAACAGGTCCTGCCTATTGGCTTTGCAAATCATTAAAGATTTAACTTCTATATGCTAAAGTGAAAATGAAAAGTAACAAAACTTGTTTTATTTCAACCCCTTGTATTCAGAGCTAGATGAAGCCCTAACAGAAAAGATGCTGAAAAATCAAACACAACTAAGTGTAGCACCCAGAACCAGCATTTTAAGACTGCTGGTTCAGTGTGTGGCAGACTTACATGATACGGACTGGCATTTAGCCTACAATCTTATAAAAAGAGACTATATTATACATTCAACTTTGTTGGGGTGGAAGAATGGGAAGCTGCTGTATTTTGATTCCTCAACCATACTTTGAATTATTATCCATACAAGGTGTTGGGAATATTGTCATTATGCTTAGCCTGTATTAAGAAGTAGACATGAAAGTCACAGTGAATGGAATTCTTATGATTAGAAATGATAGGATGCTGTTAATAACCTTGTATTAAAAACAGATCTTGGAATGAAAACAAGTAATATTCTAGATAGAAAAATAACTTTTGCTATGTCATGCTTGTAGAAGAGATGGAATGATTCAGGGAACATACCACTAATAGAAACAGTATTTATTATAAATGGTCACATTAGTTTTTAACATGCTGCATGGTTGTTATCTTTTGGGTTTTCCACTTTGTTGAAGGTGATGCAACACTTAAGAAGAATGAAACACACTTAAATTTCTAGAAAGAGCGCACAATGCTATGTCTCCTCTGGTGACTTATACAAGTAAATTAATAATATGCTCCCACATTTTGGCAGAATCTCTACTGTGAAGTTAGAAAGCCCCAAAGTTAGGAAGGCAAGATGAATAAAAAGGTCTTGGTTTGCAAGTGAAGCGGCCTCATAAGCAGACCTCAACCTGATTAAATCTTACCATTGTCTACAGAAATTCCAAGCACACTTGATATCTTTCTCACACTGAAAACACAGAAAAAGTCACTTTGTTATTGGACGCTTTTCCATACCCTCACACATTGATTCACGGGCTTTATGCTTTCACAGTCGTTTAAAGGATTCACATACATTCGGAAGGGCAGAATGTGGACACTTGATCAATTACATGCACAGTATCAGAGGAAACGATACCAGACGTTCTCACGGGTTGCAGGAGGAGATAGTCAACACTTACATCAATAAGGTGAAAAGTAAAACATTCAGAAGGTACTGGCCACAGACCATGAATCCAAATAATAATTTAAAATACTGGAGAATGCTTGGCTCTCCAACCCGCTAAATTCTGTCTTAAAGATACCAAGCAGAGGGGATGTGGCAAAGGGTCTAGAATGTTTAGGTTTGGTGCCATAGTTGACCAGGTTCCACATTATGTCACTCCCAAGTGCTGAGTACTCTCCTCCAAGGAAGGGACTGTGCCATGAGCTCTTCACCCTACTTGCTTTGAGCTGGAAGAAAAATCAAGTTGGTGATGTGGTCTGGTGTGGCCTGGGGCCTCTCCCTGCTTGGATGTCAGATGAGATGGCTGGCTGTTATGATGGTATGTCATGGGACTTACTGTGGTTAAAAGTGAGAGAGTTATCCAGGCTGCCCAGCTGCTGCAATCTGGCATGCATCATTCCTGTTCTGTTACGGGAAACAGGCAATGTCTGAGATTTGCGATCATGAACTATGGGTCCCAAACCCTCCTGGTTCCTGCAACATGAGTGAAATGGGATAGAAGCAAAAGTTAGACTGGTTACACTGCAGCGAGACCGGGAGCGTTAGTGAAGCCATCACAGCACAAACGAGACTGGCCACGCATGGACTGTGTGCAGCCGAGCAGCCAGTATGCGGCTCCACAAGAGCCAGGGACAGAGGAACAGGCAGCAGCTCTTACAGAGTCCACAGCAAAACATCGTACAGGAGGAGAAGCAAAAATCAAGCCAAAGCAGAGAGACTTTGCTCATTTTGGAAAGTACTTCACAGAGACTCTTAAAAAAAAAAATGGAGCCACCACTTGAGTGTGTGGTGCTGAAGGTTAATGTTCTGACAACTGTCAAAAACATTGCAAACCTTTTTGGATTCTGTATGTTATAAAAGAGCAATTTTTTTTTTTAAATTAAAAAAGTGCACTGGCAGGAACAGAGAACAAACATGCAATGGAAGGGATTATATGAGGCAGTTTTAATACCTTTATTCTTACCCAGGCAGGAAGGAGAAGAGCCAAACACTTTGTTAAACTTGTCAGCAATCAAGTGAAGAAAATAGAAAAGTGATCTGGGTTAGCAATCAAACAGCTAACTTCCTACTGTGTACCATCACCAGAGCAGATGAAAAATGACACCAGCGTTGGAATCACACCTGTCCCCATCCCAGAGCCAATCATATCCCTCATTGTGTTATTGTGTGGAGTATTACAGGACATGCATGGACTACTGTCAGACAGCATGCTGCTGGGGGGCTTCAAAGGGACACAATGAAAAGGCACAGTCTTCATGAAACTGGACAGTCATGGCTGGCAAACACTGGCAAAGTTTAAATTAAAAGAGTCAGGATTTTTTTTTTCACATGCAGAGGCAACCATGGCAATTTTCCATAAATCAAGACATGTCTTTCTACATAGAAGAGAGGCACACCATCTTCCTCTCCCATCTTCCCATGACTAATTTTAAGGCAGTCAGATGGTACATACCTATATAAGCAAATATATACAGGGTGCTAATGAGTTGGAGGGAGCTCTGGTAGCATAGTGCCTAAGGCACTTGACTGCTAACCAGAAGGCTGGCGGTTCAAACCCACCAGCCACTCCTCGGAAGGAAGGTTGGGCAATCCTACTTCCGTAGTGATACTGCCTCGGAAACCCAAGGAGGGGTCACTATGAGTCGGGGCCGACTCGACGGCAAATAACAACAACAACGAGTTGGAAGATTTTCTTAAAATTTAAGAAAAATTTATATCCATTGAAAAAAAAAATAAGCTAACCATTTCACAGAAACCAATTCTAAATATTTTCTTGGGACAGAGATCTTCAGCCTCCCACATTCACCATTTGAAGCTCTGAGGCATTTTATTCTAGTTCACACACTATTCTCTAAATGCCATCTTGTGATGTAGGTGGCAGTTACTGCAGAAAGGGTGTGAAGCTCACCCAACATAGTGTCTTTCTGTTGTAAAATATACTGTTCACCCATCTCCACAGGAAGAAGCCAAACAGAATAAATTAGAGGCATGAAATGACAATGGTGTAAGAACTCCCTGTATATACTTGCATTTGGTACTTAAATATAAAAATTTGTTATAATCAAAAAAATATATCAAGTTTAGAGAAAGTGACACCAAGTTTCAATAAAAATTTGAAAATACACATTAATAGAAGAAAAAGGCAAACTATTTTCTCTAAATTTTCTTTCCTTAAAAGAAAACACACACTTTTATTTTTTAACACAAAATGTAACTCTGAAAATTTCTCAAATATCCCCAGAAGAGAATGCTAACATAGAAAGCAAGTCTTCACATTCCAACAGAAGAGTCTGTTAAAAATCTCTTCCTATTCTCATTGTTATAACCTGAATTACAGATAAGAGGGGAAAAACTAAATTACAATTAAATTTTAAAGACTTTCTTAAACATAAATGTAAGTTCATCTAGAATTAAATTATTAAAAACAAAACAGCAGAAAAAAATGATACTTAGACCAACACCCAGAAAAATAATGCAGAGCAAATGGCTCACCAAATAGAAAACAAAACAACTTCAGATGCACTGAATGTCTACAGTGGCAGAACTAAAAACTTGGCAATCAACAAAATGTACTTTGAGGAAATATTTCCAAAGAAGCAACTGTTTGGGCATATATCAGCAAGGAATTTCTAATTCTCCTTGAACTTAATGTGGAACCCTGGGAGTATGGTCGTAGAGAGAGGAACAAGGATTTATGACACTCAGCAAAGATTTTGGTCAGATAAGAACATAGGGCACTTACACATTACTAAGAATAAGAGGAGAAAGAGCTCAATTTTAGAGAAGGTTTCATGGAACTTCAAATAAATCTGAGGTGGATTGAAAACATTCCTTCATTAAGAAAGAAGGGAAGTAATTAGCTGAGAAATCAGTATCTTTTACAATCGGGAGTAAGAGTGGTAAAAATGACTCTTGAAAATGAAATGGAAAGAAAAATTATTAAGGAAGGTGAAAAGGGAAAAAAAATTAACAAGAACTGGGAGAGGAGACAGAACTCAGTCTGAAGAAGAATCTGGAAGGAAGTACAGAAGTATGGCAACAGGCCACTGCAGAGAAGTTTTTCAAGATACATGTATGAATTAAAATGAGACAGAAGGGATGTAGGAATGAAAGCGAAGAAGCTACCAGATTTTTATGGTGGCAATCCAAATGCCTGCCAACTGTCTTCATGGCTGTGGCTGTGAATTCCAACTGCCAATCACCATAGATGACAATTCCCACACATTCAGATCCAAGTGATACAGAAAGGGAGGGGGCGCCAAATGACACAACATTTTAAACTAGAATGCCTCACAGTACCTGGCTATGTATCGTTTTCCCATGTACTGGAACTGATGCAAACAGACTCTGCAGGTAAGATAAAAAGTTATTAGGAGAAACATGGATACAAAATTACTTTCACCACATTGTCATATTTAAACCTATCAATAACAATACATTCCATAAAATCTTATTTCTACCTCTAACCTCTTAGTTACACTCAGTAAAAACTATTAACCTGGAGGGTTAATAGGGGGCATCTCATTTTGCTACTATCAGTACTGCAGCAGACTGCGTGGGGAACAAAAAAAGGCAGGCCACCACCAATAACAGGATTTCCCATTTACTTGGAATGTGGATGCTTACTCCAATGCAGTTTACCTTAGAAATCACACCAGAAACTACATACACTGTTCTGAATTGCTTATAAAGTTATACAAGGAACACACTCTTTTGGCTCAATTTTGTGGACTGGTCCTTCTTAGGCATCAACTACATAGTTTTTTGTTTTACTATATCCACAGAAAAATAGAAAGCACTATGTTTTTTAAGTCATATATTTAATGAACCCTGGTCACCATGGCTAAGCGATTGGCTGCTAACCAAAAGCTTGGTGGTTCTAATCCACCCAGGGGCTCCCCAGGTAAAAGACTTGGTCATCTGCTCCCTTGAGGATTTATAGCCAAGAAAATCCTAGGGGCAGTTTTACTCTGTCACATGGGGTTGGTTTGAGTCAGAATTGATTCAACAGTACCCAACAATAACCACCACAGTAAAATTGATGTCTAGTGAGTTCCCCTCAGGCTAAATCTCATTTCAACTACATGATACTTTGTTTCTTCAACTCAGCAAGGGGAGCAGGCAGAGACTCTCAATTCATTCACCCATAACCAGTCTCTCACCTGTAATTCCAAAATGCACAAAGCTCAGAAAGCCAGTTTTTTATGAAAGTTTGTGCAAATACATTTAACAGCAAAACATGACCCAAAGTACCACACATAAAGCTATTTATAGTTAGTATTTATCCATTAACTATGAACAACCTTATCTTTTGCTGCAGAAATAACAATGTGCTGTCTGAAACCCTGGTTGATATTATATATTATCCTCTATATGTAATTCTTTTTTTCCCTACGAAAACCCTACAAAAGTGTTGAATTCTGAAAATCAACAGGCCCCTGGTTGTGAATAAGGGATTGTGGACCTGGGTTTCTAAAAGTCAAGCGATTAAAGGAAATCAAATCTTAGATTGAAGAGAGAGAATGTTATTTATTAGCAGTATGGAATAATTCACTTTTACTTCTTGTAAAATATTTTAAAACTACGGTGATTTTTTTTTTGTTTCAGGCTCTACCTGTGCTTGAGTGTTTAAATTAGATTCAATTTAGAAAGGCACTTTTTTTTTTTTTTTTAACCCAATTCAGTTTGTAACTTTTATGTTATTAAAATGGCTTATACACACAAGCAGTTACCTCTGGTTTATAATGGCGGTTATAAACTGCAACAATATTAGTCTGGCCACTGCCCACTGGGTCATGAGCCACTGAGAGTAGGCATCAGAGTGAGATGTAGGAGAAAGAATGAGTGGAAGGAGCAAGTGAGGATGTGGTCCTGAGTGACATATACTGCACTTGTAGTTCAATGAGTATTTGTCACATCTCTTACTCAACAGGACAAATAAAAATACTCAAAGCAAAAAGAACTACTCACTCAGATATTGTAAAAAAATCCATAAGCTCAGACGTTGAAGCCTTGTTCCAATAAGTAAATAAAGCATCTAGAAAACAAACATTTATTTGGTTAGAATCATGATGTATATTCTGTACATTATGGAGAACCACCTACTACTACAATGGGAAGAGCTGATCAAAGAACAAACCATAGACATTAATCTATATTGGATAAAATATCCAACCGGTTATTCAATTTAAAGAAGACCTTCAATTTCATCACAACAATATCCAGTACCATATGGTAAAATGTATATTTAACTTACATATAATGTGGATTTTTTTGTCTAAATTTTATTTTGTTGTTGAGAATATTCACAGAAAAACATAAACCAATTCAACAGTTTCTACATGTGACAATGATTACATTCTTTGAATTGTATAACAATTCACACCCTCCTTTTCTGAGCTGTTCCTCCCCCATTAACCTAAACTCACTGCCTATCTAATCTTTCAAGCTGTTTTGTCAATTTGATCCCATATACGTAGTTCTTAAAAGAGCGAAATACACAAGGCAGACTTTTTTTTTTTTTTTAAACTAGTTAAGCTAAACTATTGTTCAGTTTTAAGATGATTTCAGGGGTTATTTTTGGTTTAAAGATTATCTCAGAGCAATAGTTTCAGGGGTTCATTTACCCTCCATCGCTTCAGAAAGTCTGGAGTTCATGAGAATTTGCTCGATATTTTTCCCTTTTTGATCAAGTTTCTTCTATGGAGGCTTTGATCAAAATGATCAGTAATGGTAGCTAAGCACCTTCCAAGTTTTCTGGTCTCATGGCAAAGAATACAGTTGTTTATGGTGGCAATTAGCCATACATTCTATATCCTCTTGCTCTTCCTGACTCTCCTTCTTCCTCTAGTGCTCCAGCTGACACACACATACATACATACACACACACACACACACACATCCCAGAAGTTGAAGCTGCACTGAAGGAATTGGTGAAGAAACAAGGCTCCAGGAATTGATGGAATACCCATTGAGATGTTTCAATAAATGGATGCCCCTCTGGAGGCACTCACTTGGGTATGCCAAGAGATTTGGAAGACAACTCTCTGGCCAATTGACTGGAAGAGATCCATATTTGTACCCATCCCAAAGAAAGGTGATCCAACAGAATGTGGAAATAATCAAATATCATTGCTATCACACACAAGTAAAATCTTACTTAAGATAATTCAAAAACAGTTGTAGCAGTATTTTGACAGAGAACTTCCAGAGGTGTAAGCTGGGGACATGGAGCAAGGAATATCATAGCTTATGTCAGATGGATCTTGGATAAAAGCAAAGAATACCAGAAAGATGTTTACTTGGTGTTTAGTGACTATACAAAAGCATTTGATTGTGTGGATCATAACAAATTATGGATAACTTTGAGAAGAATGGGAATTCCACAACACTTAATTGTACTCATGAGGAACCTGTACATAGACCAGGAGGCGGTTGTTTAAACAGACCAAGGGGATACTGCATGATTTAAAATCAGGAAGGGAGTGTGTCAGGGTTGTATCCTTTCACCATACTTACTCAACTTGTATGCTGAGCAAATAATCCCAAAAGCTAGACTACATGAAGAAGAAGGTGGCATTAGGATTGGAGGAAGACTCATTAACAACCTGTGATATGTAGACGACACAACTTTGCTTGCTGAAAGTGAGGATGACTTGAAACACTTACTGATGAAGATTGAAGACTACAGTCTGCAGTATGGATTACACCTCAATATAAAGAAAACAAAAATCCTCACAACTGGACCAATAAGTACTATCATGATAAATGGAGAAAAGATTGAAGTTGTCCAAGACTTCACATTGCTTGATTCTATAATCAATGCCAATGCAAGCAGCACTCAAGACATCAGACAACGTATTGCTTTGGGCAAATCTGCTGCAAAAGACCTCTTTCAAATGCTGAAAAGCAAAGATATCTCCTTGAAAACTAAGATGTGCCTAACCCACACCATGGTGTTTTCAATCACCCCATAAGCATGTGAAAGCTGGACCACGAATAAGGAAGACCAAAGAAGAGTTGATGCTTTAGGTTTGTGGTACTGGCAAACAATGCTCAAAGTACTAGGGACTGCTAAAATAACTAACAGATCTGTCCTGGAAAGAGTGCATCCAGAACGCTTCTTGGAGGCGAGAATGGCCAGACTCTGTCTCACCTACGTTGGTCATATTGTCAGAAGGGAGCATTCTCTGGAGAAGGATGTCATGCTTGGTAAAGTGGAGAGGTGACGAAAGAGGGGAAGGCCCTCAAGGAGATGGATTGACATGATGGCTGCAGTGACAGGCTCAGGTATAGTAGGGATCTTGAGGTTGGCACAGGACCAGGCAGTGTTTCGTTCTGATGTACGTAAGGTCACTATGAGTTGGAGATGACTCAATGGCACCTAACAACAACGTCCTGTTTCTAACACACCCACACACACACCCACACTGAAATGGAAGCATGCATACTATATGTACTATTTTACCTTTTGAATTTTTAATTCACTAATATAGCTTGGAGCTGGTTCTATGACAAGACATTTGGATTGCCCTACCTTACTCTTTTTCAAGCTGTATAATATTCCACTCTATGGATGCACTATAATTGATTTAACTAGTTCCTTACTGGTTGACATTTAGTGTTTAGCCTATTTTTATTTTTAAATTGTGATTTGGGTGAAAGTTTACAGAGCAAATTCATTTTCCATACAATGGTTCATACGCATTTTGTCTCATGACATTGACTGCAATTCCCAACAACATAACAGCTCTCTTCCCACTTCCTCCCTGCATCCTTCCCCCTTCTCTGCGTCCTTCCGTCCATGCACTCCCATCCCGAGCTGTCTCCTGTGCTAACACTGCCCTTCTGTTCTATGATTGATCACTTCAAAGAGTGTATCTACCTGATATAAATGTTCACCCCATATGGCCTGTCTACCGTTGGGCTGGAAGTCACAGGAGTGAGCAGACCTGAAGGGTAACTAGCGGCCCTAGTTTCAGGGGTCTCACCAGGCTCTATCAGACTAGAAAACCTGTGTGTTTTTTCTTTCTTTCTTAATGATTTTTGAGTTTTGTTCCACATTGTTCTTCCACTCTATCTAGAATCTCCTGCACCAATTCTCCTTCCAGTGGCTGACAGCGGTAGCCAGGCACCATCTAGTTCTTCTGGCCTTATGGTTATATATTTCCTTATCTTTTGCTGTTATAAATTGTGTTTTGATGAATATTCTTATATGTGGGTCTTTGCATACTTATCTAAGCACATCTATGGGACAAATTCTTAGAACTAAACTGTGTCAAATGAAATGTACATTTAAGATTTTTACAAATATTGTCAAATGGTCTTCCAACCACATAGTATATAAGAGTTCCTATTTCCCAACACTAGGGCATAATGGGGAGCTCTGGTAGCATAGTGCCTAAGGCACTTGACTAACCAAAAGGCTGGTGGTTCAAACCCACCAGCCACTCCTCAGAAAGAAGGTTGGGCAATCTACTTCCGTAGTGATACTGCCTCAGCAACCCAAGGAGGGGTGGCTATGAGTCGGGTCTGACTTGACAGCACACGACAACAAGAGGGCATAATGTGCTTGTGATTAAGAACTCACACCTGTTCTTAATCAAGAGCAATTTAGCATATTTAATCATAAAATAACATCCAAAAATTTATTGTCTGTGTACATCCCCTTAATCATTTTGTATTTTTATATTTTGAACAGTTTACTGTGTTTCAGTGAAAGTTTTCACAGTAAACCAGTTTCCCATCTAACAATTCATACACAGATTGTTCTGTCACATTAGTTGCTAACCCCACCATGTAACAGCACTTGCCCCACTTCCACTCTGCCTTCCTTATTTCTATCACTCCAGTTTCCCTGGCCCTCAGTGGAAATACTGTCATGGGATGTGACACCAAAGTGACCCCAGCATTTGCAGCAGCAAGCAGGAGGGCTCTGCAAGGGGAGGGGTCACCAAAGCAGTGGCATCAGTAGAGTTGGTGTCACCCCCCACACCCACCAATCAGGCTGTGAGTGAGTAGGCCATGGTGCCTACCTTGGCAAACGAGAGAGGGAAAAAAGCTGCAGGGGTTGGGGCTAGGAGCTACAGGGCCCTGCGACACTCAGCCTTGCACAGGGGCAGGGCTTCTCTGCCCACCAGGGGGTGGGTGAGGCCATGAGTTACTGTACTAGATGACACTAACCCTCCCTAGTGATGACATTGCTGCCCCCCTTGACTTGTCATCTTTGCTTTGGGGTAAATGTTGCCCATTTGGTCTGGTATGGTTGATTGATCTAAGAAGCACATTCCTCATGGGTGTTATTGTTTATCTGATAGGCCAATCTGTTATTTGGCTGAAAGGTGACTTCCAGGAGTGGCTTCAGTTCCAGGTATAGAGGGTATTTCCAGGTATGAAATAGGATGATAGTCTTCGAGGTTCCTCTAGTTTCTATCAGTTCAATAAATCTGGTCCTTTTTTTTTTTTTTTTTAATGAATTTGAGTTTTGTTCTACATCAGGTCCTTCTATTGTGCCCATGGTCAGAGCTGTTGATAGTGGCATCTGGCCACCATCTACTTCTGCAATGATGTAGTAGTATACAAAGGCTATTACCACATTTAATAGTTAAATTGTTTTGCCTTTTAACATTTTACACTGACGTTGATAACCAGGTAAAGAGATTGCTGTCAGGGAAAAAGCAAATTAGTCTTTGGGGCCTGACATGAGTTGGGGTACAGAGGAACTGAGGGTGGCTGCAGACGTGTTGATGGCTCAGGAAGATATGTGGTAGTGACTTTCACTCCCTGCTGCCAGAGAGGAAGGGGAAGAGGTCAGGATATTTACTGACAGTCTATTATGTGGTCTCAGGGTTTCACAGATAGTACTGAGTCATTTACTCCATCCTGTGAGGCAGATGTTGTGTGCCACTGAGTTGATTATGACTCATAGAGACCCTCCAGGACAGAGTAGAATTACCCCATAGCGTTTCCAAGGCCGTAATCTTTACAGGTGCAGATTGCTAGCTCTTTTTTCCTCTGGAGCAGCTGAAGGGCTTGAAGCACTGACCTTCTGGTTAGCAGCTGAGTGCTTAACCGTCAGGGCTCCTTTGTAAGATAGATTCCCCATTCACCAATGAGCTAACTGAAGCAAGGGAAGGTAAGTAATTTCCCCAATTACCACCCTGAAGGATCATGGCTGAACTAGCCTTTAAACTCAAGTGCAATCTGATTCTAAAAACGATGTTTTATCTATTACATCAGAAAGGAGGGTGAGTTAGGGGTGTCCATCATTTGGGAGTTTTGAGCTTAGAATCTAGAGAAACAGATTCTGATTATGTGAGGTTGCTTGCCTGGGTAAGGAAAGCCAAGTGAAAACTGGAGGGCCTTGTGGGCCCACTCCAGATATCTGTGGTGAGCCTCACCATACCACAATGCAGCACCAGGGATCGCCGAGCTGCAGAGCAGCACCAACACTGCCTTTCTCTGGCTAGTGACTGAGGAGAGTGGAAAACACAGACCCAAACTCTATAAATGAGAGGTGGCATAGGAACAGAGGCGTAGCTATGGAAAATAGCACCTACAGCAAGCACCAAAACTGTGTCCCTGTCCAAACATCTGACACCCATCTTTTAGATAACTTCACCATACTATCAGATCAAAAACACAAGTCAAGCTTGTACATCTTTTACTTAACACTTCATGGCACTATGAAAACTGCAACTGCTCCTTTCTTGCTTTCACTGATGAAAATTGGTCTGTGATGTGCTCAAAGACATTTTTTCAGTTTCTTCTCTTTCTGCTCGCAGCAGAGCAAGAGCACAGTCTGCCCTGAATCACAGAGACTCTCAAATATTAAGGTATTAGTTTACTCACTGAACTATCTGTCACAGTGGCGATGAAAACTGCTCAGTGGTGCACACCCCCCCCCCATCACCACCTTCAAGTAGAGTCCAGGGCACATGTCATACCTGCCATACCTTAAGTATGCCTCTACACAGGAAGGGACAGTAAGTGAGGTGGCCAGTTTGTGGCATGTACTCATTAAGCGTGGGATATATAAAATGAGTATGAGTTGGAATTGAATGGAATTAACTCAATGGCAATGGGTTTTTTCAGTCAAGATAGCATTGCTATAATGCTACAAAATTGATAATTTTGGCTGGTTGGTTGGTAAACTATTGCTGGAAGCAATGTCTCCCCTACCCATACTACATGCACAAACCAATTATAGGTAGATTTTTAGACCTAAAAGTGAAATACTAAAGATTTTAGGAAAAAACATCTAGAAGATTATCTTCATGACCTTGGGAGTAGGTAATGATTTCCTGAATGCAACACACACACACACACACACACACACACAAATTCTAATTATAAGGAGGTGGTTCCGTTTTTAAAATATATGCATACCCGTCAAACGGGCTGACTTTGAAGGATAACTTTCACTTGGCTATGAACGCTCTGGTATATCTGTCATTAAAAAGCAGTTACATTCTAGTCATATGTCATATTCAATGTTTACAATAAAATATTTTATAAACAAAGGAAAAAGTTATAACGCAGGCTAACATGCACTCTACCTATCTTAAGGCAAAATTTAGAACTTGTGACTTAAATGGGAAGACTTTCAACTTTATAATTCAAAATAACAAAGTAAATGCTCTGTGCTTTTGTAGTTGGCTGGTCATCATTCACAGAAAATTTTATTTGCTCTTTTTTTGAAATAGATCTCTTGAAGTAACAAATTGACAGAAGAATAAAATAATCCAGAAGGAATGTTGATTAACTTAAGCATTTGAAGGTCAGGCATGCTGTTCCTAACATCCAAGTTATAAGAGCAGTCTGCTAATGCTGTTGAAATACAAGAATATAAAAGAAACACTATTTGCAGGCAGAAATACTTTCCACCAGATTTTTAATTGCCCACATCGATGGCCACCAAGGAGCTCTGGTAGCACAGTGCCTAAGGCATCTGACTGCTAATCAGAAGGTTGATGGTTGACACCCACCAGCCACTTTACCACCTTGGAAACCCAGTGGGGATCGCTCTGAGTTGGAATCAACTCAATGGCAGTGTTTTTTGTTTTTTTTTTTTGGTTATAGCCACCAAAGAAAGCAGCAAAAGAGGCCTTCATGTTCTCTGAAAATGGCATTTTGTTTTCAAAAAGTTCATTTTAATTCAATGACCTTAATGCAGTTCATAGAATACCTTGTTATTTCTTGCAGGAAAAATGAAACAAGAATTTTGAACAAGATAAGAACTCAGACATTGTTCTATGGCAAATTGCACGTGACGGGCTACATCACACAAAGTTACAAATGTCCTGTTATGCATGCTTAAAACCTTGCATGGTAGGAATAAAGCACTGATTTGCTGTCATTGTTAACTGCTGTCAAGTTGATTTTGAAGCATGGTGAACTCACATGTGCAGAACAGAACTGCTCCATAGGGTTCTTCAGGGTTGTGGACTTTTAGAAGCATAATCCCAGGCCTGTCTTTCAAGGCGCCTGTGAGTGAGTTTGGACTGCCAACCTTTTGGCTGGCAGTTCAGCACTTAACTGTTTGCGCCACCCAAGGACACCCCTAAAGCATCAATAGTTCCAGTTATTTCTATTAAAAATGTAATTGCCAAACTCTAAATCAGAAACAACCTACTATGTATAATACCAATAATTCTATTGTTGTTGTTGTTATGTGCTGTGGAGTCGGATCCGACCCATAGTGACCCTTCCTTGGGTTTCTGAGGCAGTTATCACTATGGAAATAGATTGCCCAGCTTTCCTTCTGAGGAGTGGCTGGTGGGTTTGAAATGCCAGCCTTCTGGTTAGCAGTCCAGTGCCTTAGGCACTACGCTACTCTAAAATACCATGTCTTCTTTATAAGCCAGGAACGTCACCCACACTATAAACGGAAGGAATGTGTAGGTCCCCTAACAATATATTTTCTAATATAAGAGAATGACTAATATAAGTGCCAGTAAGCAGGAGTTTGTTTGGACAAACAAAATCTATTTCCATTAGCTGTTTCGGTCTCCTTTAGTTAATAGGGTAGGCTCAAGTTAAAAATAAATTTTAAAAATAGGCCCATTTGCATTTTAGAACTTATTTTCTAGAATAAAATAATGACCAGGAATGTTTTGCTTCTAATTAAGGCTGTGATTTCTACTGTTGTTGTTAGTTGCCTGACCAGCCAGCACCCCTGACTCATGGTGGCCCCATGCATAATGGGGTCAGACAGTTGTGATCCATAGGATTTTCAATGACTAATTGTTTCAGAAGCAGATCTCTAGATCTTAGTCTGAAAGCTCTGGTGAAGCCTGTTCAGCATTATGGAAACACACAATGTACATGAGGTACACTGACTGGGAATTGAATGGGGGTCTCCTACACGGAAGATGACAGTTCTGCCAACGAGCCACTCCTACCGCCCCCCCCTTACTTCTACTACATTTAATAAATAAACACACATTTAAAAAAAAAAAAAAGGGAAGAATAGTCTTTTAAATCCTTGTATACTTTCAACTAAGGAGCTCTGGTGGCTTAGTGCCTAAGGCATTTGGCTGCTAACCAGAAGGCCACTGGTTCAAACCTACCAGCCACTCTGTGGAAGGCAGACTGGGCAATCTACTTCCATAAAGATTTACCACCTTGGAAACCCAATGAGGGTTGCTGTGAGTCAGAATTTGACTCAATGGCAGTGAGTTGATTTTTTTAATACTTTCAGCTAATTACAATAATAATAATAATAATAAATCCCAAAACAAGGAAAGTAAAAGAAAAATCTTCATTTCACCTACCATCAGACATGCTTTTTAAGATGTACAGGAAACACATCAGCAGGCTCTTAATCTCAGACTGGTCAAGTTTGTCACAGCGAACCACAGAATTTCCCAAAGTGCCACTCTGCTGGTTCTAAAAAGGAAATACAGGTGATTTTTCTCTTCAAGTACTAGAAAAAAAAAATTATAGTTTCACTTTTTTCCCCTTGAAAGAAAGATTCTTAGGACAGAGTCAAATCATATAAATTAGAAGGTATGAGCAATTCATCTATAGACACACTTCACCCGAACATACACAAATGCTGTTCCACAGACGTTCTGGCTTATCTTCTTTGCATACTTCCCCCTAAGGAACAAGCCAGAAGGCATAAAAGTTCAAACTGGAGAATCACACTTTTGGTTATCAGCGTAGTTCTGAAATGCCAAGTCAAACCTCATGCAAAAAAGTGTGTGTGGTACAAACAGAGATGATGATCCCAAAGATACTACAGTAAGCACATCCCCTCAGGAAAACATGAGTGGCTGAAACAGCAAATTAAGTCTACAGTGCTGCTGTGTATCAACCACAATAGCCTCAAGGTGAGTCCCCGCCATTCAGTGGCCATATGGGGCTCCCTTGGGACAAAAACAACTGGCAGGTGCTTGATAGGTACAAACAGGGACACCTCAGGACAGCACTGCCAAAGACCTAAAGCAGATGAGGTCATTCCATCATCAGCATAGCTCAACACTGCAAACATCAGAAAGCTCAGAGTGGAGGGGGAGAGCAGTTTTGCCACTATGCAGAAGGTTCACAGGTTTAGAGAGTTCATGTTTTAAAAAACACAAGAGGAATCTTGTGTTATGAACATATAAGATTTAAAAATCTTCAAAGTTATATTTCCAATTGAAACCAGGATTTTTTTTTTTTTTTTTTTTTTTTGGCAAACCCAAAGCCAAAAAGTCAGTGAAAAGAAATGCTTTGTTCAGGGCATTAGTGGGCAATTGAAATATTATTTATAGGAAACAGGCTTAAAATGTACATGGAAATTCCCATTTAAGGAAAAAATGCAGGTGCAATTAGTGGCAAAACAGTGGTGCAGATGCATTATCTCGCCTTTCCACTGAATTGGAGCCACTAAGAGAACGCAGTACTTCTCGCAGTTTGAGGGAAGGTGCAGCATGCAAAATTTCCTCTGGCAAAGATGGAATCTTTAGAAGGGAAAAATCCACAGTGACCCGGTTTTTCCTGGCTGACTGGCAGTTTTCCTCCTCCTCTCCCACGCTGCGCATGACACAGGCAGAGTGCCTTCTGAGCAGTTTCTCCCTCTGCCACGCGAAGGCATGTTAGCATCAAGGGAAAAGTTAAACACACCATGACACACCCTACCAGGAAACTCACGCCTCCGAAGAATCACATGTCACAGTAATCAAGTCAGTGCCAGCCACTAAAACAGGTGGTAAGATTACAAACCTGATGCCACAGGAAGGACACATTCCATGCTTCTGAGAACTAGGACTACATCCCCTGAGTGGGGGATGTGTGTGCTTAGCATGTAAATTGAAATAGTGTAAGAAAACAGGCCCAAGATGATACCAATTTATCATGGGTTCCAGGTTTAAGCCCAAGCCCTTATCCTTTCCCACAAATTTCCAAATAGTCTGAGTCTTAGTTATTTCAAGAGGAGAGGCTGCATATGAAAGGGGTGGGTTGGAGGAGGGGCAGGATGACTAGAGCTTTTTGAATCAAGCTTTATCCCTGAATACCTATGTGATCACTTACTCTCTTTTGGAGTTGGTTTTCAGCTTCATTTGCCTAGAGAACTGTGGTATAAATGTCGTTCTTCTGGTGAAAGACCATAATGATTCTAAGTGAGTGGCACTCTGATTTCCCTATCTGTCCAGCCTGGCAGAACCATTTGCTCAAGGCATTCCATGGTAAACACTACCCTGATGTGAAACCCTGGAAATTGGAATCAGGAGATACAGTGACTGGACTCCTTCTTTAGAAAATACTTTGAACAGCTACTCCAGGTTAAATGAGTTGTTTTTTAAAAAAGGTCCTATTAACAAACATTGGAACTTTGAGTTAAATCCATTAGTTAAAAGAATCATTTGAATTATTTGAAAATGAATTACCTTATCCAGTGAATTGCTTTTCTCACTGTTCCTTTCGGGAAGGCTGTTGCCCGAATCTGTGCTTATCAGAGATCCTCTTGAATCAGCATTCCTCACACTATTGATATTTGGAGTTGAAGTTGTATATGGAGAAGCTAAATGGGAATTAAGCCAAGACCAAAATTTTGGTAAGACAGAACAACAGAAAGATAAGCATTGAACTTTAAGGGAAAATGCTTATACGGCATTTATTTTTTTTCCTCTTAGGAAGCTGGCTCAAAAACTGCATTCAATTACCTCACCTTTAAGGAATGAGGCCATAAAAAGATAAAAATAAACTTTACTCTGAAATATTAAACATAAATATCAATTATTTACTCGAAAGCTTATATCGCTAAGACCATAAGGGCATACACTGGTTCAGAATGAAGACTTAAGAAATAATGATAACACCACCTACAAGCATCAAATAAAACAATTAATCCATACAATAAACCCAAAGTATTCAAACTCTGCTGAGGAGCCCTTGTAAAGTCAGAGGGGGTGCCATAGGATATTTTACAATTTCAGGGAAAACAAAGACACTTAACATCTGTCGACATGGCAGTTTTAACATGAGAACTTGCTACATTCCTTTTGATGACATCATGTTTTTCTGAAGTTGGGCACTTGATGGTTGCTATGATAAAAAGTAAGACTGGGCAAAATCAGTGTGGAACACAAAAGGAGAGTGGTGGTGCCTAATGTGACTCCAAACTTTGAGAAGCTGTACGGTGCCCAACAGGCATATGAACCAAATGAGTAAGTAACTGTAATTACATAAGATTGAAGTAAACATTTTAAAAATTATGTTTTCTTTTTCCCCCTTCCAAATGGCTACTGAGCCACTGGGATATAAGTATTTATCAAGTATTTGGAGCTCTGGTAACATAGTGCCTAAGGCACTTGACTGCTAACCAGAAAGCTAGAGGTTCAAACCCACCAGCCACTCCTCAGAAGGAAGACTGGGCAATCTACTTCCGTAGTGATACTGCCTCAGAAACCCAAGGAGGGGTCACTATGAGTTGGGTCTGACTCGATGGCAAACAACACCACCACCTACCTAATAAAAAATTATTGCAATGACTAAGGGTGCTGTGAACTGAGAACATTCGGGAACCTCTGCTATGAACCGATAAGAGCAGAAAGGAAATCTAACTTGGAAATAAAATTTGTGACGTCTGTGAAAAAATAGCATTTGAAGGCAGAAAATAGCTCCACCTAGTATTATTGAATTTTTTAAGGTAATAGATTGACTGCCTGATTAGGTAAGATTTAAGTGAATCACATAATTTTAAAAATGACTTTTGAGACTCATACATCCTATGCTGAACCAAAAGAAATGCCTGCAACTGCAAGGCCAGGCTGGTACTGAGACTGCATAAGGAGACTTTTCTTGATGGCACACAACAAGAAGTAAAATGTACTGTAAGCACAGACTTCCATACCCAAGCTGTAGATGTGGTTACCCAGCACCTCAGAACAGGCTGGTCCTTTTCAGGTTCCAGTAGGCAAAGTAGCTTCCATGGACTGAGATACTATATTTTAGGCTTCTAATTAAAAAAAAAAAAAAAAAAAAAAAAAAAAAAACTATATGGCTACCTTCTGGGTCACACCAAAACTGTTTTTTCAGATCACTCAGTTGTTAGATTTTTTAATTTGATGGTTAATGGCATAAAGTCATCAATTCTCAGGTAATGTCAAGAAGTCTTTAACTTCAGAGGAAGACTTGCCCTATCAACATAGGAAATCCCACCTCCTACCTAGCACTCATGTTTATCTACTACCATCCCTGAAGCTGATTTGGTGTACCGGAGTAAATTTAAGACAGAGGAAAAAGGAGCCAGGGGAATGTGAAAATTGTAAGCAAAGGCTGGAACATGCAAAGCACTGGGCCTCACTGCCAACCACAGCCTGCACTTGGTAGGGTAGACACTGTGTGACAGACTGCTACAGAAGAGCAGGGAAACCCTATATAAAAGGTATGAATTACTCCTTTTCTTTACTCAGAGGGGAAAAAAAAAATAGCATTATAACCAAATTATAATTATGATCCTAGTAACAGAACCATAATTCATACTTAATGTGTAGCACACAACTCAAGAGAAAGGGTTCCTCTGTAAAGTAAAAGTGGATGCTAAATTCTAAGACTTTTAGGCTTGATTCCAGAACTAGAATTCTAATCTAAGGCAGACAGATGGAAATGCAATAAATCAAAATCAACATGCTTAACAGAACTATGTTGTTCTGTGTGTGAATATATTTAATATACTGGCCCCGTGCCTAACTTTTTTTTTTT